TTGTTTGGCGGTTTCTAAGAGACTCCAAAGCACTGCCGCACGTGCAACGCACTTCCACATTAGGATAAGGTTACTGATACTTCAAGGGTCCGCAAGCGTACAACTTCCGTCGCTGATTCCTAGTTCTCCTCCTTGGTAAAATTTTAAGGAAGCAGCAACGGTCAATCAACTATGCTTGGCTTGGATAAATATTTGACTTTATTGAACTGATTTTTTAGCGTCGTAAATTTAGCTCCCAATCATCGGGGGAGTCTCAAACCCAGGCATTAGTGTTTTTTTTTTTTTGTTTGTTTGTTTTTTTTTTTTGTTTTTAATGTTCTTCAATGGTACATTTGCCTTACAGACTTTCCTTGGTTGTTCTCAAACGGCAAAAGGGAATGAAATTCTAAAACTCGATAAAATGCTATGAGTTTTCGGTGGGCGAGGAGTGAGATCTGCGCGCGAGGTTGGCCAAGTATAGCTTAGTGCTACTTATATGAATGTATTATTGGACGAAAGTGCAATTTCCCGGTCAGCGGAATTCTTCATGAACATCATTTGCCTCGTGTTTTCATTTTTCCTTCAAACTAGTGAACTTTGTTGAAATAATTGCTGAAAATTACGACAACTCTCACTCTCCAATGGAATATTTAAAGGGCCCGGGTATCCGTGTTCCAGGAGGTGGCGATAAAGTTTTCAAAGATGAATGTGTGTACTGCTTCGACTCGCCGGTATGTACTGCATATATGTGCTTGTGGTTCAAAAAAAACAAAAATTCACGCAAGGGTTTATAATTTCTAGTATGTTGTTGTTCAGAGTTAACAGTTCGCAATAATTGAGAATAACTTTCCACACGTTGAAATTATGTCGTAGTTCCCCTCTTGACAAGTGCTACTGGTTAAGCCTCGTTTTCAAATTTCTATTTTGTTTAAATTCCTGGTAGCCACTTTATGGCATGTTCTATGAGAAAGATTGAGATTATTAAAATTAAGTTCTGTCGAATAGACCCTTTAAGGCGTAAAATAACTTATAAACTTATGTATTTGAATTCCCTGGTGGTAGTGGCTTTAACATTGTCTTCAATTATCGAAGCTGTCGGGAGCTCTGAAAGTGTCATGAATATTCCCATTCTAGAAAATTAGGACATTGACTTTCCAATGTTGTTTATCCTGTGCACATGAAATGCTCCGAGATTGAAAAAATATAATATTTTTGTTCTTACTTGATTCTGATGTTATTCTGAGCAAAAAGAGGATCATGCAAATAATCACTCCAAAACNCATGCAAAGCCATGCTTTTTGTCCAATTTGGACACAACTGAGCATGCTCCAGTTTTGCATAATTAACATTTTGCCTAAGGTTGGCCTGAGGCCAAAAATTTATGATATTGAGAAATGTGATCGAACTGATCAAGTGGACCACTGATGGTGAAGTGGTTCAAAACTGGGTAAAACTTTAATTAATAAATAATGAAATGAAGTATAGAGTTACAGGTAGATGTTGTACTAATTATGGTAGGATGATAGGGGAAGGTTGGATATGGAAATGTGGTCAGAGGGCTGCAAAATGAGAAAAGGAGAGGGTTCTAGGAGAAACTGGGGAGGGGAGTGACAAGTTTCTATAATTTTTTTTTTTTACTTTACAAGAACCACCCAAAAAACCATGCCCCTATTTTTTTACCACACCCCATTAATAAAATCTTTATTTGAGACAGTCAACTGAAAAAGTTATCGACAGTGTAGTTAAAAAAAAATTAATTTACTTAATAGTTAAGAAAAGGATTACTTAATATAAGATTTAAAATATTTTACTTGTACTTAAAAAAAAAAACTAACTAAAAGAAAAAATTTAACTACAACATAGACACCCACAAGATGGCTCTGACTCAACCAGTTTCATTGTTGAATTGGAATTTGGAGGTTTTATTTTTTTTGTGCAACTATTCGAAAACCAGAAAACTCAGAGAAATCGCTTAGAGGAAGGTTGGTTAATCTCCYWRRAWWA